TACATATAATATCTTCATTGTTTGTAACCACATATTTCTAAGATTGCACCATATACAACTATTCATCAAGATCACCATGAATAAATATTGTCTTTACATCCATCTGCTCTTGATGTAAATCCTCCACTACTATCATGCTATAGTCATCTTCACTATTGGAGAGAAAATTTTAGTGAATTCTACTACTTGCTCAAAACCCTTAACTATAAGCTTGGCTCTGTGGTGCTTGCTACTATCAAAATTTTCTTTCAGCCTGTAAACCCACTTATTTTGCAGTGCATAAACCTATCAAAGCTCATGTACCATTGTCTTGGTGTCTGCTTTAGTCCATATAAGCTCCTCTTGAGCCTACATATCATATCTTTTTATTTTTTTATTTTTTTTATTTTCTTTTTTTTTTTTTAATTTTCTTTTTATTTTTTAGCCTACATATCATATCTTCGTTATTTGTGATCACATATTCCTAAGGTTGCACCATATACAACTATTCATCAAGATCACCATGAATAAATATTGTCTTTACATCCATCTGCTCTAGATGTAAATCCTCCACTACTATCATGCTATAGTCATCTTCACTATTGGAGAGAAAATTTCAGTGAATTCTACTAATTGCTCAAAACCCTTAACTATAAGCTTGGATTTGTGGTGCTTGCTACTATCAAAATTTTCTTTCAGCCTGTAAATTCATTTATTTTGCAGTGCTCTCTTGTCATCTGGTAGCTGTGTCAAATCCCAAGTCTGATTCAACTCAAGTGAATGTATCTCATTATTCATGGCTTGCTCCCACTTTCTTGAATCATCAGCTTGAATAGCCTCATCATAACACTCTTGTTCACCATTATTTATCAGCAATAGATAGTATAAGAAAGAAGAATATCTTTGTTTGTACTGGTCTTAAGATTCTGCTGGATCTCCTAGCTTAGCAGTAGGTGTTTGAGATACTCTCTGTGCTTCATCATCTTTGCCTTCTTGATCATCAATTCATCATCATCCTCTATCTTAACATATTTGAAAGAATCTTTAGGAGTCCTATTTCTTTGTATTTTTTATTTTCATTGAATTTGAATTCTGATAAACCTAGAATTTATAACCAAATTCATCTATGTCATATCTAATGAATGTACACTTGATATATTTTGGATCAAGTTTACTATTAAATTTTACATAATTATGAACATAGGATGAATAGTCAAAATTTTTGAGATGAGATAAACTAATCTTCTTTTTACTCTAGGTTTCCTCACGCAACCCCTCATTCAAAGGAACTAAAGGATCATGATTGATCAGATAAACTGCAAAATACACTACATCTGCCCAAAATGGTTTGGGTAGACCTACATGCAACCTAATGCTCTTGGCACGCTCAGTGATAATTCTATTTACGCACTCTGCAATATTATGCTGTTGTGTTCTTAGAATAATAAACTAATGTCTGATTATATTCAAAGTACAATACTTCATAAACTTCTTATCACGATTCTCACCATTGTTATCTGATATGAGACATTTGAGCTTCAAATTTGTTTCATTCTCAATTGTAGTCTTCCATTTCTTGAAAACATTAAACATATTTGACTTGTGTTTTAAGAAGTATAATCATACATTTCTATTGTGATATCAATAAAAATAATAAAATACAAAGATCCTCCCATAGATAACTAGAGTAGGATCCCATATATCAGTATGGACTAACTCTAATTTCTTTGACTTGACCTTTGAACCAGTATTTGAAAAACTCACACTATGTTGCTTTCGTATACTCAATCTTCACAAAAATTTAAATTTAGAGATTTTTAACCATGAAGCTTTCCACTAGTAAGAAGTGAATGCATACCTTTCTTACTCATATGATCAAACCTTCTATGCCAAAGACATCTATCAACATTTGAATCTGCTACTCGAATAGCATCTGATCTTTTGTTGATAACATACATGGTGTCTTTAATATTGCCATGAGCTATAATTATAACCCCTTTTGCTACTTTTCATGTATCTCCTATGAATGATGTCACATGGCCTAAGTTTGCAAGATGACTAACAGAAATTAAACTCAGCTTCAGAAAAGGAATGCGCCTAATATTCTTAAGTCTCCAAATTGATTCATCCGACATTCGGATATCAACATCTCTATGTCCGACAATACTGCAGGGCTTATTGTCTCCTATATACACTTTACTCAAATCACTTTGAGTATATTTTTGTAATGCCTCCTTATTAGGACTTTCATGAAAATAAGCACCTGAATCTATAACATAAGATTCAAAATTATCCATAGATAAAATCAGAGAATTTGATTGAAACTCTTTTGCAAATATATTTGTAGAATGATTTTTATTTTGCCCTCCAGCACTGTCTTTCTTTAGAACTATACAGTCCTTCTTCAAGTGACCCTTTTTTTCATAGCTCTAGCACACAACGTTTCCTCTACTTAAAGTAAAATTTCCTCTCCTTGATTTAGATCTCCCTCTACTAGAATTTCTCTCTAACCCCCATCCTCTTGCTTCAACATTTAGAGTAGAATTTAAAGATTCATCGTTTGCCCTTTTGCGAACCTCTTCATTAAGCACTAATTCTACAATATCCTCAAAGATGAACTTTGAACTTCTTGAAGAGTTACTCACAACAATAACAAGCCCATCCCAGCTTTTTGGCAATGAAGATAACATAACAATGCCGTCACCTCATCATCAAACTTGATGCTAACTGAACTCAATTGACTCATCACAGTGTTCAGATTATTCAGGTGCTCTACCATTAAAGTATTGTTCAACATCTTTATGTTGAATAACTTCTTCATCAAGAACACTTTGTTTGAGGCTAAGACTTCTCATATATCTTAGTCAGTGAGACTATGAGATCGACTGTAATCTTCTCATTTATAATGTTAAATGCAACAAACGAGGAAAGTGAAAGTCATATCAAACCAAGTGTTGTCTGGTTAAGAACCTCCCACTCTTCTATAGTCATAAAATCAGACTTCTTCGTGATTCTGTCCAACAATAAATAAAACTTCTTCTGATACCAAAAATCTTCAATTTGCATCATTCAAAATGCGATGTTTGAACCGTTAAATTTCTCAATCTTGTATCTTGCTTTATCCACAATTACTTCCGCTAGAATTGAACAACCTTACTCCGATACCAATTGGTGGGGATGGAAGTAAAACACCATAGAGAAACAAACAAGAAATATAGAAACGCGACGAAAAGTAAAGGACACCAAAAGTTAATGTGGAAAATCCTGAAATCACAAAAATCCATAGAGCCACACCATACCCAAAAATTCACGATGAAAATTGGGAGAAATAAATACAGATATTTCTTCTCTCACTCTTTCCTTGCTTCTTTTCTCACATGCACCATTCTCATACTTAAAATATAAGAGAAAAGACAAGTTAATACCACCAAGAGACTGTTGAACCCTATAACTCAAGTTACGCACAAAAAGGATGAAAATGACGAATCAAATAACGCGCGGGTTGGCGCGACGCACCACTTAAATGGTCAAATGACCTCCGAATGCCAAATGGACAACGACATTGCGATCAGAACATCGAATTAGGCTAGGTTGAGGCCCCTCGTAGTCGAATCAGATGAGGTTGGTCGAAAGGGGTAACCAACACCCGAAATTAAAGCACAACGATGATCAAACGACGTCGAATCGATGAACAGACTTTGTCGTTGCATCCAGAACATTGTCAACCTCTTAAAATTACATTTTGTTTATTCAATTTGAAGCATTAGGATTTGTGGCACGGATCCCGAAGCAACAACACAAATTTGGAGGAGAATCGACCTCAACACTGTCCAAATGATGTCCGTTCGTAAAATGGATTTCGCCATTGTGACCGAAATATCGTGAATACTCGAGAACTATATTTTTTATGTTCAAATTGGATCATCCGGATTGGTGGCACGAATTTTGAGAGAAAACATACATATCAAGGGGAATAGGCCTCGGTACTATCCAAATGAAGTTCAACTGCGAAACGAATTTCGCCATTGCGTTCAAAACATTCTAAATATCTAGGAATTATAGCAAATTTGTTCAAATTAAAACATGCGAGGATGTCGACATGCATCCCGAGGCTAGCTTGAATTTCAAGGAAAAGGTCGCTCGGTGCTACCCAAATGACGTCCGATTGACAAACGGACTTCATCGTTATGTCCGGAACATCTACAATAATCGAAATGCACTACCAATTTGTTCAATTGAGGTTGTGCACGTAAATCGAGGCGGTTTGTCTACTATTTTATTGTTATTTTGCATATTTTTTCGACTATTTTATTGTTGCATATTTTATCTACTATTTTATCATTTGTTTGTTCAAAAATGAAAATTATGTTTTGGAAATGTTGATTTTGTTTTCCGTCTTTTGGAGAATGAAAAAAATCATCTTTTTGAGGGATTTTAAAGGTGATTGTAGACTTAACAATTCATATTGATTCTAACTACATTTAACCAAAAGATGGAATCTGGTTAACTTATTATTTATTGAAATATATATTCTAATTACAAGCAACAAAATGAGCTCCCACTAAAAAATTTCAGCATTTCAATTGATCCCATGATTCCTTCAATATAATTATATCTTACTATCATATTTCCATCTTTGCCAAACATTCATTTTTAACATTTCTATTTTTCTCAAGCCTTATTTGGCCTGTCTGTGATTCTCTTAGTCTCCCTTGCGGAATCTACACCTATTGCTTAAAAATGGTCATCCAATTTTTCAGACGTGACAATTATATTTGAATTGTTTTCACTCAATTTCACTTAAGAAGTGCTTTGACTGTAATAGAATTTAGGTTGCAGTTTGGGATATTTTTTATTGCCTGCATCTTGGAATGCTAAATAGCAATTGTAGATGTTTTTAAGCCCAAGTTAACATAAACTACATTAGTAGAAAAAGCTCCAATTGGTTTGCTGTTTGATGCTATCTATGCCTAGAACTTGGTATTTGGTTCTCTAATGTTGGCTACTACTACATCTTGCAGCTGCAATAATTGGTCCAGTTGTGGCAATTCTGGTTATTGTTGGAAACTCTGCTGTCATTATTGGTTTATGGCCTGTACATTTCTTCTGGACTAGTTACTGTGTGGCAAAGTATGTGATACAGTACTAAAATTTCAGATTTTAATTAATGCTATAGTATGCAAGAGTCTAAACTTTGTGATTCCTTTATGTGGCAGGACCAAGAGACTTGGGCTGGTTTTGAAGCTATTGTTTCTGCTTTGCTTGCCTGTGCCTCTGTTGCTGTGGCCAGTGATTGGGATTTTTGGATGCATATTGATTGGGGTTGGTTATGGGTATTTTGCTCCATTGATTGACACTTTTGAGGCTGTTGGAGAGGATGTTATTGACAAACTGTATCATTGCTTTATGGTTAGGCACGCAAATTTGATTTATAGAGTGCAATTAATTCATTAACAATAATAGTTTGGTTGGGAGTGGGTTACTTTAAGTATAATTGAGATAATTCTGTTCTAATTGTTTTAATCTAGTCAATGTTAAAGGATGGGCCTGCAGCACTGGTTGGATATCCTTTATTTTGATTAGAAGTTATAAAGTTTCAAGTTATGGAAATCATCTCTCTGTAAATTTGTGTACATCAACGCTTCTATGGGAGGGGTTTAGATAACTAGGGTTACTGTTTAACCCTGTAAGAGCTCAAGCACCTGGATTATCATTACTAAAGTTGCTCCTTACCAACTTAAGCACATTCACACATGTAAAGTGTTTTGGGATAATGAGGTTTACATCAGCTCAGGATAAGCTTCTAATTAGGCTTTTTATTGAAATTATATACAAGTTACTTCTCATAACATCATTATTATTACTAAACTCTACTTCAACATGTGATACTGATCATGTGTCACGACCCGGCCCGGATGTTCGATCTAACGAGGCGGGTACAAAAGTCGGACGATAAAATTTCTTAAACAATACTACTTCATTTGTACTAAAGAGCCACTAAACACAAAAGAAAAATTACCTGTTATCATTTGCACATCGCCTTCTGTAAACATGTTCTTCTCTTTCAGCCATTACTTCTTTAGGAACTTACCTGAAACGTTTAAACTCGTGGGTTGAGTTTACTAAGTAAACTCAGTGGGAAATATATAAATTAATCATTATAATTAGTTAATTAAGATGTCTTCTATCCTTTCTTAACCTTATTTCTTTTCTTTCACTTCATTAATTTATACTTCTTTGGATATTTTCATTTATATCATTTTGAAATAATTGTTATCTGTAATTTTTTCATCTACATTTCCTTTTCCCATTTGATTTGCACAGGAGCACCGTCTCAAAATACCCAAAGGCACAACCTTTTCCATTTGATTTCCTTTTCTCATTTTCATAGAAATTTCCTTTTCCTTTTTCGTGCACGAGTACGGCGTCCCCAGCCAGTACCATAAGGTGGTGACTCCTGTCGTTTTCAATACCCTTTTCCTTTATTCTCTTTTCTTTTCTTTTCTCATTTTCATCATTATTGATACAATTGCATACAACATATTTTACTTGTATATCTATAAATATTACTTATCATTTGCATATACGAATCATATACATGTGTATGTTTTCTTTCTAAACTTTATTTTCTATTTCTTTGATATACTCATTACATATCATTTTTCTTTTCCATAATTGTACTCATACATGTCGTTGCTTATTTTAGTTAATCATTTCTCCAAAAGTAGGAGCAATCATAAATCTAAACAATTTCACATATACTTCTTTCTAAATGAAAATAGAATTGAAATAAAGAAATTTAAACTATTATAAATACCCACTTTGAACTTTTCAGGTCGTCGATGCTTGATATAACCTTGAATCAATTTCCCTTCTTCCAGTTGAATTCTCACGGGATCAATGCATACAACTTGATCTTTCACTTTCTAAAACCTAAATTCATACAATGATTTTCATATAAATAAAATTGTGATTCGATAACAAATATTAATAATTCACTTACAATTGAGAACTTCTCAAACTCCCAAAATCCCTTCTCTCCCAATTCCCTTTTTCTTCGCTACAATCTCTTCCCTATCCTTCAAGAAATATATCGCTCACTTTAAACGAAGTAGGAAAAGAAATTTATAGGAAAATCCGAAAGAAATTCAACAAACATTTTTCCTTATTTTTTTCTCGATCGTTTCTTCCCTCTCGATGTAAATTCTCCCAAAATAGTACTTCTTTAACCGTGAGAAAGAAAAGGAATGATCGATTCTTATCATCGAAGAAGATTATTCGCTAAAATTGGAAAACGAAACTTACCTCGCTCTCCCACGAAGCCCTCGGTCGTCCGCCCTTTTCTTTGTTCGTGCGAACGGCTCTGTTCCGCGACTCTTCTGTTTGTGGGTATTAAAAGGGTGAGCCGGAACCGGCCGGAAGAATCGGTTGTCACATCATGACCATCAGACAAGCATTATCTTTCATTTCTAGAAATTTTGTCTTTACTCCATTTCACGCTCCAAGAACATAAAAAATTCAAGAATTTCATTTTAGTTTCCTCATTCTATATAATATTATATTACTAACAGATTGCTTCCTTTCAATTTGTAATCACAATTTAGTCCCCTTAGCCCATATTATATTTGTTGCTAAAAAAATGTGCTGATAAGTTTTTCTGAATTTAAAGAAGCTTCTTGATTAATTTATACATGGCAGGATGGATGCGAGAGCACCATCAAGGGAGCTTGTACATTGGTGCGAGACTTCACAGATATTTGTTTCCATTCTTACTTCTCACTAATGGATGGACTCAGTGAGAAAGTAGCTGATTATGAGATACCACTTGATATTAAGTATGAATGCTTTAAACGTATTTTACATTTTTACAAAGTCAATGTTTTCCAATACATAGGTATTTGTCAAATGTTAACTTTCTTAAGTAACACATTCATTTTTGTTGATTATATTGACAGTATCAATTACAGAGAATTGTGACTCATTCTTTGTTTGGCATCCCGTAGAAGATATGTACCTTCCAATACTGTTTTCTTTGAGACGAACTGTTTGTATAATTCACGTTCATGAAACTAAAGAAGCAAGCTTTTGTTTGTTTTCTCATTTTTGTTGCACTTAAAAGTAAAATATCATGGAAGCCTCTCTTTACTTTTGGAGCCCTAGTTGTTCAAAATCTTTGATAACATGCTGTTAATTTTACTGAAATTTCCTATGTAATCTTCTGTTATTAACATATGACAATTATTTGTTTTAGTGGCATATGTGAATAAAAAATTATAGATGACATTTAAATCCTAATTTGATGACATAAATGCTGCTAAATCTATTGACATCGAGGTATCAAGTTATTTGATGGCAAAAATAAATGATAAATAAATAATATTATAATCATAGTTGATCATTTGGAATAACATTGCATTCTAAAGTAAGATAATTAAATCAAACACAGTATATCTGATATATATATCATAATCATTTGAAAACATCGTCATCTTGATATCATTGCTATCTTGATAACATTAAAAATAATACCACCTAAAAGCTTAGGCCATCAAACTGTTAAAAAACACCAGCATAACATCAAACATCTGGGAAGTTGCATGACGTATTGTAACCATGGTGCTTTTTTTTGGAAGGATAACAAGACTGCCTTCTTGTCTTCTGGTTTCGGTTCTTGGAGTGCCCATTGATGTACTTGCAATTACCATTGTGGCATTGGCGAAGAGTCCATATATGCTATTAAGAGGATGGCATAGATTGTTGTATGACTTGATAGGGAGGGAAGGGCCATTCCTGGAGACTGTTTGCGTTCCCTTTGCTGGTCTTGCAATCCTTTTATGGCCACTAGCTGTTACTGGCGCAGTGATTGCTGCAGTCATTTGTAGCTTCTTTCTGGGGCTATATGGTATAGTCATTGTTTACGAGGTATCAGATATTACTAAACTTGCTGGATAAGTAATTGTAGCTTTATATGTGCTATTTATTTATAAATTATTGTCTTTGTTGCTGCTGTTAGGAAAATTCTGTGAAGATGGGATTTGCTTATATTGTTTCTGTGATATCTTTATTTGATGAGTATACAAATGACCTGCTTTATCTGAGGGAAGGATCCTGTCTCCCAAGGTATCAACTTAGTCAAAGAGGATTTGATAATATTAGTTTTAATGCTGAGAACATAGTCATTTTAATTATATTCACGTAGTTAATAAAATATTTTAAAGTTCTGAGAAAATTACCAGACAGGCCCAAATATCGAAAACATCTTGTTACACATGATCAGAAAAGTTTGAGTCAAGAAAAAGAGATTGAGAGTACGATCTCAAGCCCCAAAACTACGAAGTTGGAATTCAATCAATCTAGGACATTGAGGAAGGCTATCCAGCAACTAAAACCAATACAGGTGAGCAGTACGTTTACTAATCCATGATTTATCTTTCTCTATATAAGTAGACTAATAACAAGTATAAAAGTTACAGATCTGGGATTGGCTCTTCAGATCTTGCAAGCTTAATGGAAGGATTTTACTAAGTGAGGGTCTCATCAGCATTGTGGACATAGAAGAATCTGTTGTTAAAGGAAATTCTAGGAAACTGAGCATAAGACTACCAGCTTGGTGTATTTTACAGTGCTTGGTTATGTCTGCTAGGATTGATGCAAATGGTTTGCTTATATGTAACAACTTTTTCTTTCCTCTTATGTTTCTTTTTTCTTATTTTCTTTTCATTAAAAATCTATTTTGTTGCTAAGTGTCAATTAAATCTGAGCTGATTTGAATTTTACTAGTATTCTGATTGGATTCATCAGCTGACGGGGTAGAACTGACAAACTTTAGCTGGCCGAAGGACAAAGTATTGGAATGGCTGTTTGGGCCTCTTCTTATTATGAAAGAACAAATCAAGGGATTGCACTTGGAGGAAAATGAAGAGTCCTGCTTGAGAAATTTGATCATGACCAATAAGAATGAGAGACCAGAAGATTGGGAAAACAAATTTCCGTCAGATGACATGGTGCGGCGAGCTCAAGTTCAAGCAATACTTCGAAGGTAAACTTTAAGCTTCTGAATGCAACCCAAAGAATATCTATATGTTTAACGACTTTTTTCATTATTATTTTGGCTAATATATCTCAGGTTTGAAAGCACTTGCTATCTGGTTTTAGTAAACGGACTGAAATCATAGATATGTTTCCCTTAACCATTTCATCCTTAACACCAGCTTACTAGAACACAATATTATATTTTGAGAACTACACCGCCTATTTCAAAATAGTGAAATGTTATGAAAGGGTAAAAGTTTTTATTACATATCACAATCTGAACATTCTTATGCTTACACCAGCACTTTGGGGTTGGCTTGATGAATTATAACTTTTGATTTGCACCTGCCAAGTGTTGCATGATGTGTTTAATCTATTTCGTACAAATCTTTTTGCCCACTTCTCATTTAAGTTATCTTTTTCCCCATCCTTTTCCAACAAATTCATTGGGCTATTACCTATTTGATTAAAATTTTCAGATAATACAAAAAACAGTTTCATGCATTAAAATGCCTTATGAAATTTGAGAGATGTTGGGGATGGAAGTAAACCACGCGATGAAACAAACAAGAAAATAAAAATAGTAGAAAGTAAAGGACACCAAGATTTAACGTGGAAAAACTTGAAATCGAGAAAAAACACAGCGCCACACCACACCAAGAAATCTATTATGAAAATAGAAAGAAATAAGTATAAATCTTGCTTCTTTCTCTCTTTGTCCTCTTGCTTCTCTTCTATCTTATACTATTCTCACACACAAAATATAATAAAAAATTAAGTAAATAACACTAGGGATGCCACCTTTTGGAAAAACAAGAAAGAAAACTGCCCAGTTCGCCTCGCACGCCAATTAAGAGCGCTGAGGCACTCAAGTCTCTGTCAACATGATGCTACGGCGTTCAAAACCGTAGTATTGCGCCGCTAAATCTAGAGTATTGCGGCGCTCCGGTTTACAGCGCCGAAGCATTGTTCTGGAACCCAAGCAGGGGGAGGAACCCCCTCCCATTAGATTCCTCACAGACTAACAATCTCCCACTTGGAACTGATTGCGAACAATCCTTCTCCAGATATGTTACACCAATCATAGCACCTATAGTGTGGCTCACCCCTGCTCTTATCCTCCATGAAGAGCAACTGAAGCTACACATTGCTTCAATTTATCAATTGTCACCGTCTTTGTTAGCATGTTTGCAGGATTCTTAATCATGTATATCTTCTCCAATGATAACTGACCATCTGCCAGAAGTGGCTTGATGAAATGATAACGAAGCTAGATGTGCTTCGTTCTGGCATGAAATGCAACATTATTGGTTAGATGAATAACACTCATAGTGTTATCATACAACTTCCCATTCATTTGCCTCTTAACAAGTTCTATAAAGAAACTTTGCAACCAAATCATCTCTTTGTTAGCCTCAGTGATAGCAATGTACTTAGCTTCTAGAGTTGAGAGTAAAACAATCTTCTGTGACATGAAAACCTAACTCGCTGCATTCTCTTCCAAAGTGAAGATATAACCTATTGTGCTCCTCATACCATTAAGATTTTCAGTAAGATTAGAATATATATTGCCCTGTAGATCGATTCCTGCACCACCAAAGCAAAGAGCTTTGCCAACTGATCCTCTCAAGTACCTAAGAATCCACTTAATCGTCTTCCAATGAAATTTTCATGGGTTACTCATAAATCTGCTCACTACTCCCACTGCATATACTATATCAGATTTCATGCAGATCATAACATATATCAAACTTCCAACTGTTGAAGTATACAGAGTCCTCTTCATCTGTTCTTTCTCTGCTTCAAATTTTGGCGATTGCTCCTTGGATAACTGAAAGTGATTATCCAAGGGAGTGCAAACTGACTTTGCCTCTCTTATGTTGAATCTTTGAAGCATCTTTTCAACGTATTCAACCTGAGATAATTTCATTATACCTGCACGTCTATCTTTGTTTATTCTCATATCGAGAATTTTCTTTCATGGATCTAGATCTTTTATTTCAAACTCCTTTGATAACTGTTCTTGCAGACATTTTATCTTTATATATGATCTTATAACTAGCAGGTCATCCATATGCAAACGCAAAATAATATAACAGTTATCAAAATATTTGGAAAAATAATAGTGATCTTCTTGGCACTTCGTATACATTATGTAACATAAACATGTCAAATCTTATGTACGACTATCTTGATGCCTACTTTTGCCCATATAAGCTTCTCATGTGCCTACACACCAGATCTTTATTACCTGTGACAACATATCCCTAAGGTTGAATCATGTATAACTCATCATCAAGATCATCATAAAGAAATGTTGTCTTTTTATCCATTTTCCCTAGATGTAAATCCTCCATTGCTACCATGTTAGTACAACTCTTATTGTAGTCATCTTCACCATCAGAGAGAAAATTTCAGTGAAGTCCACTCTTTCCTTTTGCTAAAAACCTTTAACTATAAGCTTGACCTTGTAGTGCTTACTACCATTAGATTCTTCTTTCAGCCTATAAACCCACTTGTTTTGTAGTGCTTTCTTTCCACTTGGTAGCTTCGTTAACTCCCAAGTTTGATTCAACTCAAGTGAATGCATCTCATCCTCCATGGCTTACTCCCATTTTTTTTATTCATCAAGTTGAATGGCATCATCATAACACTCTGGTTCACTACTATTTGTCAATAATAGATAGTATTAGGAAGTAGAATAGCTTTATATTGGTCTTGAGATTCTGGTGGATCTCTTAGTTTCAGTAGCAGGTGTCTGAGGTACTCTCTGTGCTTCATCAGCTTTGCCTTCTTGATTCTCATTAGCATCCTCTATCTCAACTTATTTGGAAGAATCTTTAAGAGTCCCATTTCTATTTTTCTATATTTCATTTTCATTGAATTTGAGATCTCTGCTCTTGATGAATTTCTGATTATGATAGTTCTGAGCTTTATCCAATAAATATACATTTAATAGATTTTTTATCAAGCTTACTCATAGATCTTACATCTGCATGAACATAGGATGAACAACAAAAAACTTTGAGGTGAGATAAACTTATCTCCTTTCGACTCCAGGATTCTCAGGTAACCTCTCATTCAGAGGAACTGAAAGACCTCGATTGATCAAATAAACTGCAATATTCACTGCCTTTACCCAGAATTGCTTGGGTAAACCAGCATATAACCTCATACTTCTGGCACGCTCAGTGATAGTTCTGCGCTCTGCATTGCCATTCTGCAGCGACGTTCTTTAAACAGTGACTCATGCCTGATCCCATTAAAAGCACAATACTCCTTGTACTCCTTATCATGATACTCGCCACCATTATTTGATTTGAGACACTTGAGCTTCAAATCTATCTTTTTCTCAACCATAGTCTTTCAGTTCTTGAAACATCAAACACATTTGATTTGTGTTTTAAGAAGTACACCCATACCTATCTATTGTGATCATCAATAAAAGTAACAAAATATAAATATCCTTCTATAGAAGTAATTAGAGCAGGGCCTCATACATCAATTTGCACTAACTCCAACTTCTTTGACTTGTTCTTTGAACCAGTATTTGAAAAACTCATCCTATGTTGCTTGTCATATATATAGTCTTCACAACAATCTAAATTTATAAATTTTAAACCAAGAAGCATTTCTCTTGCAAGAAGTGAATGCATACATTGTTTACTCATATGGAAAAGCCTTTAATGCCAAAGACTTCCATCAAGATTTGAATGAGCTACTTCAATAGAATTTAATCTTTTGTTAATAACATACAGTGTGCCTTCAATACTACCACGAGCTATAACCATAGCCCCTTTTGTCACCTTCCACGAATCTCTTGTGAATGATGTCACATTGACTGAGTTAGCAAGATGACTCACAGAAACTAAACTCCTCTCAAACAGGGAATGTGCCTAACATTCTTGATTCTACATGTTGACCCATCTAACATTCTGATATCAAAATCTTCCTGTCCAACAATACTGCAGGGCTTATTATCTCCCATATGCACTTTACCCAAATCATCTTTAGTATAGTTCTTGAATGCCTCCTTATTAGAACTTGCATGAAAAGAAGCACCTGAATCTATAACCCAAGATTCAGATTTATCCAAAGATAAAATTAGAGAATCTGACTGATACTTTTCTGCAGATACATTTGCAAAGTGATTTTTGTCTTGACCTTCACCACTGCCCTTCTTTGGATATGCACAATCCTTCTTCAGGTGACTCTTCTTTCTATAAATCCAACACAACTTTTTCTCTACCTGAACTAGGCTTTCTTCTCCTTGATTTTGATCTTCCTCTAATTGGATTTGTCTCTAACCCCCTTCCTCTTGCTTCAATATTCAGAGTAGAATTTGAAGATTCATCATTCTCCCTCTTATGAACCTCTTCATTAAGCACTAACCCCACAATGTCCTCATAGTTAAGCTTTAAACTTTCTAAAGAGTTACTCACAGCAGTAACAAGCCCATCCCGGCTTTCTGGCAATGAAGTTAACAACACCAATGCTCTCACCTCATCATCAAACTTGATACCAACTAAACACAATTGACTCATCATAGTATTCAGATTATTCAGGTGCTCTTCCATTGAAGTGCTATCTACCATCTTCATGTTGCATAACTTTTTCATCAAGAACACTTTATTTGAGGCTGATGGCTTCTCATACATCTTAGTTAGTGCAGCCATGAGATCAATTATAGTCTTCTCATTCACAATGTTGAATGCAACAGATGAGGAAAGTGAAAGTTGAATCAAACATAGTGCAGTTCGGTCAAAAACCTCCCACTCCTCCTTAGCCATAGAATCTAGCTTTATGGCAATCCCTTCCTATGATAAATAAAATTTTTGATATAATAAATTTTCAATTTGCATCATCCAGAATGGAAGTTCGAACCATTGAACTTTTCAATCTTATACCTTTCTTTGTCAGCCATTACTCCCACTCGAACTGAACAATCTCGCTCTAATACTAGTCGTTGGGGATGGAAATAAACCACACGATGAAACACACAAGAAA